GGGGGGGGAAGGAAGGGAAGAGATAGAAAAGAGGCAGATGGATGGATGGATGGGTGGGGGAGGAGGAGGAGGAAGGAGGGAGGGAGGGAGGGAGGGGTAAAGGAGTCCCTCGGCCAGTTCGCGGGGCGGGACAGACGGAGGCAGAGCTCCCTGCGCTTCGCTTCTCCTTCGCGGCTGCCTCGCTTCGCTTCTTCTCCTTCGCGGCGTCCCGCCCTGCCTCGCCATGCCGAACTTCGCCGGCACCTGGAAGATGAAAAGCAGCGAGAATTTCGACGAACTCCTGAAAGTCCTGGGTAAGGCGCGTGGGGAAAGGAGGGGAGCGAGGAAGGCTCGGGTGTCAAAGGCTCCGCCAAGGCGCTAGGCATCAAGGCGGCGGCTGGAAGGAAAACCACCACCATCCCCCCCCGGCCAATTGCGCCCGCCCGCGCACGCACACACACAGGCAGAAGCCGTGTTGGTTTACTCGCGAGTTAGTGGGGAGGGAGGCAGCCACCCGGGTCTTCGAGAGGAAGCGCACTTGGCGCTGGTAGGGAGGAGGAGGAGGAGGAGGAGGAGGAGGAGGAAAAGGGGAAAGAGGAGGAGGAAGAGGAGGAGGAAGAGGAAGAGGAGGAAAAGGGGAAAGGAGGAGGAAGAGGAGGAGGAGGAAGGGGAAGAAGAAGAGGAGGAGAAGAGGAAGAGGAGGAGGAAAAGGGGAAAGAGGAGGATAAAGAGGAGGAGGAGGAAAAGAGGAAAGAGGAAGATAAAGAGGAGGAAGAGGAGGAAGAGGAAGAAGAAGAGGAGGAGGAGGAGGAAGGAAGGAACCATTGAACTGGATGGATTCCCATGTCTGAAATGACTTAGGATTTCCTGCCTAGGCAGGGGGTTGGACTAGAAGACCTCCAAGGTCCCTTCCAACTCGATTCTGATTCTAAATTTAGGAGGAGGAGGAAGAGGAGGAGGATAGTGGGGTCCTCAGTGCTCTCTGAGTCTGGGTTGGGGTGTTGTTGTTTTTTGCAGACATTTCATGACCCAACAAGGCAACATTATCAGTGATACAAGGGAGTAGGGTGTGAGGAGGAGGAGGAGGGGGAGGAGGAGCGGGCCCCAGGCGCGTGAGAACGGAGCCAGGCCAGGGGACTTTCTGGAGGGACGCGGAGTATCTTCGTGGCTGGAGGCAACGTGGCTGCTGCTCTTCCGTGGCACCCTTATTGCTCCCCCCTTCTCTACCCTGAAAAAGAGACATCTAGACAGGAAGGAGTAGCCAGGTTCCTCTGCCCAAGAGGGGGGGGCACCTGCTCTCAGGTAAACCTGCCCAGACCCCCCCCCCTCGCCATCGGGGCAGCTCTTGAGATCTCAGGTCGCCCAACAGCAGGGCTAGGTCCTTCCCTCTTCCCTGGGACGCGGGAGGTACCAGCTGCTTGGAAATCGGACCCCCTGGGTAAGGCCAGTCCCTCCAGGCGCCCAAGGGGGGCGGGGGCTCCATCCTGTTAACACGACCCACCCCACGCGCCTCTACCCAGGAGTGAACGCCATGCTGAGGAAAGTGGCCGTGGCCGCCGCCTCCAAGCCCCACGTGGAGATCCGCCAGGACGGGGACCGCTTCTACATCAAGACCTCCACCACCGTCCGCACCACCGAAATCAGCTTCAAAGTCGGAGAGGGCTTCGACGAGGAGACGGTCGATGGAAGGAAATGCAAGGTGAGGCTTCTCCTGAGGCTTGACTTTCAAGGCAGGATGGGGGTGGGTGGGCTTGGAGTGGGGGCCCCCGCAGCTTCTTCTTCCCACGGTGGAGTTTTGGGGTGGAAGGCAACATTGCCAGGACAGGACGAATGTGCTGCAGGTGAGGTGCTCTGAAAGCAGAGTGCTCCACCCTTGGCCACTTTTTAAGACTTGTGGAAACGGCTGGGGGGGCAATTCTGACCCCCCAAGTCTCCAAAGTGGCCAAGTTTGGACATCCCTGTCCTTAAAGTTCAAAGCCTTCTCCAATCTAGAACAGTTCCTTGGAACTTCTCTGAGAACAACCCAAGAAGAAGTTGGCCATTTGTCCTCTTCTCGAACTTCTTGAAGCCGAGCTGGATGATTTTTGACAGTGGGTCTCCCCCAAAAATTGGGCTGGAAATGCCACACCATGCAGAAACCCATGGGGGGTGGAGGGAAAGAGCTGGTGGGACGAGTTGACCCCATTGAGCCCCAGAGATGGTGCCTGATCAACTTTGAAGGTAGCCAGATCTCCATAATCCCGTGAAAAACCAGAGCCGAGATTCCCGAGGAGCCGCAAAGACAAGAGAAATGTTGTCTCTGTGTGTTTTACACCCAGATGCAGAATCGCACCCCAAATAGGGAAGTCTAGGTGAATTTTGCTCTCTCCGCAAGCCACAAACCAGGGGACTAATTTATTTCCCCCCCAAAAAAGGCAAAGTTTGCTCTTCATTGCGGGCAAACCAGAGCCACAAAACCTTTCTCACTTCCTCCTTGGGGATCTACTTTAAAATAAAAACCACCACCCAAACCCACTTGTTCTCCATGAGTCACGGAAGGATTTTTGTGGACTGATGAATCGGGATTTGGGGCAGGAAGGATTTTGCTGTGGCTTCGCTGTCATCGAGCCTCGCGGGGAAGTCAGAGGCTGGACATCCCCATCCAATGGTCTGGTTTGGGGGTTTCCTCTCTGGCCTCATCCAAAATGCTCCTCGGGGAATCATGGTTGCACTTTGGAAGTTCCTTTCAGGTACTTGGCAGTTTTAACTGCCGAGTTTGGCAATGGATTACTCTAAAAAAAAAAAAAAAAGGCATGCAAGTTTGATTTGGCTTTGGGGAAGATTTTTAGGGACGTCCAATTCCTGTTTTGTGGGAAAAGAGACGGAGGGGAACCTCAGCGGCCCATTCTTGGCAGCTGGCAAAGTGAAGAATAGGTCAGGAATGAAAGCGAATAGACGTTTCCAAGGATAACACTGAAGGATTTGATCTGGGTCGGTCACCGGAACCAGCTGGAGCCCATCTTCAAAGAACTTCTCCCTAGAAGTGGGTGTTGTTCATGGGTCCTAGCAAACTTTCTGCTAGACTACAGAAGTTTCCTGAAGTTGGGCCCTGGCACGAGTCTGAGAACTCAGAAGACGAAAACCTCTGGTTCCGGTGACTGACCCAGATTGGATCGTTGAAGAACAGGGCTCTCCAACCTTGGCAACTTTTAAGACTTGTGGACTTCAACTCCCAGCAAAACTGGCTGAGGAACTCCGGGAGTTGAAGTCCACAAGTCTTCAAGTTACCAAGTTTGGAGACCTCTGGTATAGTCTGCCGCTTGAGCAAGGGGGGGGTGGGCTGGAAGACCTCTAAGATGCCTTCCAACTCTGGTATTCTTTCCCTCGCTGTCACCACGAATCCTCTCCGCCTCAATAAGGATGGCCAAGCCCACCAAAGCAATTTGTAATTGATGATCCAGTGTTCCTAAAGCCTTTTGTGTGTGTTATCTTGGAGTTACCTCCTCGTGGTTGGCTAAAGAAGTCCACAGAATTTTCTTGACAAAGATTTTTTTGGTTGGCCTGTGTCGCCATCTTCCTAGGGTGAGGCACTCACTGGCTGAAGGTCACTCTGTTGGCTTTGTGCCTAAGGCGAGACTAGAACTCATCATCTCCTAGTTTCTAGCCAGGAAGTGACTCAATGCCTGCACAAACCAGCTTTTTTCCAAAGTTATACACCGGTGAATAGCAATGGTTGAACGAAACCATAGCCCTCAGGTCTTCTTCTACACTTCTTGGAAGTAGAAGCAGTCCTGTCTGCACTTCTTGGAAGTGGTTGGGCAAATGCAATGTTGACCTAGAGCTGGCTGGGGAATTCTGGGAGTTGGAAGTCCACCCATCTTAAAAATGGCCAAAGTTGAGAAACACTACCTTAGGGTAATTGAGATCAGGAATAAGACGGAGAATGCGGTTCCAGAGTCTTGTCTGTTCATTGGATTAAAGAGAAAGATCATGATTAAATTGAAGTATTGGTGGGGTCCTACATGAAGACAGCAAACAGGGTAGCCAGAAACAGCATTAGAAGAGTTAAATAAGTTAAATAAATAATAAATAAATCCCCAAAAGAGGAATGTCATGTTCCTGGAAACTATCAGAAGGATTATACCCCATTTTCTTGTGGGTTGTGGCTTAATCCAATGATCAGGTTCAATTTTATTTTTTTTTAAAGAAAATGTAATTGTCTTTTAAGATGCCTGGAGCAGCAATTTTCCCAAACTTGAAATGGAACCAACAGCCAACAGGAATCCAACAGGGCAAACTTTTCTTTCTGGCTGGGCTTGTTTACTGAATTTGGCCTGATGAAATCTGGCATTAAATTTGGTTGTGTGTGTGTGTTTTTAATTTAATGATAAAAATCTGTTTGGTGTGTTTCCAGAAGAAAAATACAAGCCTCAATTCTGGGAGGTCTGGAACTTCAGACGCAAAAACATCTGCCCAACCATGAAGATCTGACCCAGAGATTTTTTTTTTCCTCTTGATTCTCAAGAGTTGCAGCCTTAAATTCCCCCCGCCCTCCATATCCTAACTGAAAGTTAGACCGTTCTGAGCTGCCCACCAAATTGTACAAGGTGCTTTGTTCTGCCTCGTATCTGCTGCAGGGATGGAAGCTCGTTTGCAGGTGCTGAGATCGGCTGCCGCCAGCCATTTCTCCCCATTTGTTGCTTGACTGCAACCGTTGTCCTAATATCTGACCTCCCCTCCCCCGTCCGCCGCGAGGGAGGGGCGCATTTTTTTTCTTGCAGAGTTTAGCCACTTGGGAGAATGAAAACAAACTGTACTGCAAGCAAACGCTCCTGGATGGCCAGGGTCCCAAAACATACTGGACAAGAGAACTGGTTGGAGACGAGCTGATTTTGGTAAGGGGTTTTGAGCTTTTACGGAGGGCTGAGCAATTCCTGCCACCTTCCCCAAGAGAAGAGCTGCTCTCAATTTTTTGGGTAGCATCAGCAGTGGGATCCGATCTGTTCCACGACTGGTTTGGTGATTCGCACGCATGCGCCTATCGCGCGCGCGCAGCTTTCCACAAGGCCTGTAGCGCCAGTCACCTGAGAGGATAAAGAAAAGCACAGGGGTGGGTAGGAGTGCTAATCCTGCGCTTTTCGCTTCTCTTCTCAGCTGATCGTCGGCTCTCAGGTGATTGTGGGAGGCTTTTTTTTACAACCAGTTCGGCCAAACCAGGCTGAACCGGTAGCATATCACCCCTGGGTAGCGAGCTAAAACAACCACCCCCCCCTAAGTTTAAACTGGGTTGAGCACCGCTGATAGCGTTGCCTTTTCACGGTTCTATTCTGTTATGCTCAACCCTGGAATTCAGGGACAAGGTTCAAACCCGGGATAAAAAGACCGAATTCTCGCGTTTACCCCCTTATTATTTTTTTTTAAAGGTGCTTTGGACGGGAAAGGGCTCAGCCTCTTAATTCCCACCTGTTAACTCCGTTCCACTGGGAGAAAATTGCAATGAAATTTCCATCTGAACATTTTTAACGATTTTCCATAAGGGAAGAGCCTCCAGGCCCGTTTGGTCCAGGGTGAGGACCAAAGATGGGAGGAAGAAGGGAGTCCGTTCCAAAAATCATTTTATAAGTTCAAAAGAACAATACGAGAGCCGGTCTTGTCCTTCTTTCTCTAGCTCGCTCAACAACGCATGTGCACACAAATGTCTACAGGTCTTATAGTGGGACGTAGACCAGTGAAGGTTCTCCCAAACTGAGCGCCAAAGTCAAAACACTCCAACGTAAAATCTGAAAGTCATCTGGCATATATCTTCGATCTAGAGCAGAGGTGTCCAACCTTAAGACTTGTGGACTTCAACTCCCAGAGTTCCTCAGCCAGCTTGAAGTCCGCAAGTCTTAAGGTTGGCCAAGGTTGGGGACCATGGTCTAGAGTGATGCCAGTGTTCCCTACCCCCAAGGCATCCCTTGGGCCCAACCTAGCTTGAATGCTGGCTTTGCATGTTCTGGAGAAGCACAAACTCTTGAGCAGTACAGGTAGCCTTCGACGTACGCTTACGATGGAGCTCAGAATTCCTGTCGCAAACTGAGACAGCCGTGTATCTTTTTTTGCCCGACGTTATGGCCTTTCTTGCAGTGACGGTCACGAAGCAAACCATGGCCGCTGTTCAGTTAGCCACACGGTTGTTAAATCAACCTGGCTTCCTCCATTTGAGTTTGCTGGTCAGAAGGTCGCAAAAGATGACATGACCCCGGGCGTCATAAATAGGGAGTCCGTGGCACAAGTGCCTGAATTTTCCATCACTTGATTATAGGGATGCTGCAATGGACAGAAGTGTAAAACAAAACAAAAAAAAAGGTCGTAAGTCACTTTTCTCAGGGCCGCTGCAACTTTCAGTGGTCACTAAACCAACTGGTATGAAGTTGAAGGCTACTTGGAGATGACCCTGAAGGTGTCCAGACTCAGCAAAATCCTGCAGGTGCTTTGGAGATCTTCCAAGTTTGGGGTACATCAATGCAAGAACTCTCATCTTTCCAAGAATTCGGAGACCAGATGAAGCATTTTCTTCAAAGACTGTTTTGAGGAGCAATGTAGAAGGTCTCCAAGTGGGGTGAAGTTTCAACAGCCCCCAGGTGGTGCCTTCTGCAGATGTTGTCCTCCTGGTCTCCAACCAGCAAAGAGCTCCACGGCCATCTTCTCTACCAAAGACTTCACAGAAAGTCTTCTCTTGGTTTCAGGTGCTTTCCTTTTTCTCTCTCTCTCTCTCTTTGCAGACCTTTGGCGCGGATGACGTGGTGTGCACCAGGATTTACACGCGAGAGTGACAAAAAAAGGCCAACCTGCCCTCCCTCTCCACCCATCCCCTTGCAGGAAAAGCTGGAGGATCAACAGCAGGTGTTGTGAACACAAGTCTTGCCGAGTAAACATCCTCGCGTGGTGTTGTTTGAACCGGCTGGCTCTTGCGTGATCGTACATGTCGTTTCAAATCCCAGCTCGCTGCTCCATCTCCAGATCTCCCCCCCCCCTTTGCTTAGATGGCGAATCCAGGTCCCCGTAGAATTTGTGTGTGTGTGTGTGTGTGTGCCTGTGTGTTTGCGGGTACAAAAACAACCCCTTTCATCTCCCCCCTCATCCCCTGCTGCTCACTGGTATTTATATAGCTTGACATTTGTACGATCCGAGCGGTGATTAAATCCCTTGGTTCTTGGTTCACCCGGCTTTGCAAACCAATGTGTCTTTTAAGTCTTAAAGGGCATCCAGACAAGTCAAAACAACACACAGGGAGGGGGGGGGGAAGAACCTCCACACTCACACCTTGGTGAGATGGGTGTCGCACCTGGTTGTTTCAGCTCTATTTTAAAAAAAGTAGCAGTTTTCCCAACCAGCGGCAATCGTTCTGTGCTGCGTTTTGCACTTGCCACACCAGATTTAACTTAAGGAATTTGTTGCTGTCAAAGATGAGTGGAAATCATTCCCCATAGACCAGGGTTGTTGTTCTCCCACCCACCCCCAATCATAGTTAACAACCTAATTATGGCCTCTAAAGTCGGAGAGTATTTCAGGTCAAGCCGCAAAACACAGGCTTGTCGTTTTGGCTATATACCTTTCCCCTTTTCAAATCATACGCGTCCGTGTGTTTTTCAGGGGACTCTCCCAGTTCTTTTCCCCAGATTTAATCTTTGCCAATGAAAACATGGATCTTAAATCTGGAAAGATTCATTGGGAGAGAGTATTTGTAGCTCAGGGTTCAACTGTGGGGTCCCTTGATGCTCTCCGAAGTTGGTTGTTTTCTTGAAGACGTTTCGTGACCCAACTAGGTAACATCATCCAGGCTAGAAAGGAGCGAAACCCTCTTTCCTTCCAGCACTGGTGATGTTACCTACTTTGGAAATGAAACGTCGGCAAGAAAACAACCAAGCTCAGGGAGTACCAAGGACCCCCCCCCCAAAAAAAACCCAGTTAGGTTCATCTGTGCAGAACAGCCTTTTAGACAAAAAAAATTCCCTGAATGTAGAAAACCAGCAACTTAAGGACACATTTCCCCTAATTTTCAACACGCTTGTGGCCTTTCCTTAAGGCGCAAATGTAGGATTCCTCTTTTCCAGGCTGAGCAATACATTTTGCTGTGAGCAACGGATGAGAATCATAATCTGGAAAAAACCATAGAGACCCCAACAAAAACCTGCCTTCGATCTAATTGAAGCAGTTATTTTTCCCCCATTATCTGCTTCTATCACTTAGAAGCTTTCAAGTTGAAAACTATTTTAGGAACTCTGTTAGTACCGGGTCAAGGATTTGGGGGTGAGCGTGGGCCTCCCCAGATCCTGTGTCTCTTTCAAGACATTTGCATGGGGGGAAAAAAACACATTTGATCAACCATTTAATTTTTATGGGAACTATCCAGTTCACCACCAAACTCTTTGGAACCAGAGGAAGTTCCCAGAGGTCTCTCTGAATCTTGGCCGCAGAACAAAAGCTCGGCGAATATTTTCCTATTCATTATTATCGTTATTATTTTAAAGGCAACATTCATACCGAAATGGCAGCTCCCTTAATTGTGGGACATTTCCTCATTCGGACAAGCGACTGCTTCTTCTGCCTTCGACCCCAATCCTTCATGAAAAAGGGAAAAGCCCTTCGTGGCTAATTTGGAAGGCCATTGTTGCAGGGCACATGTTCACAGCCGAGGCAGCAGCCTGTTAAATTAAGTCTGAATTCATTCAGGCCGCGTTAATTTTATGGACACTTTGAACTAAGCAATTATGCTTTATGGTGTGTGTGTGTGTGTGTGTGTGTGTGTGTGTGTGTTCACGCCAAGCATGCTCCTCAGAAGCTGACCTCATTAAGAGAGAAGGACACCGGGCCAGATTTTGCATGGCTGTTTCACATGTTCACATTTTGCCAAGGGGGAAAAAAACAAAAAACGATCTGCAAAGGATTCACAAATATTTCCAAATGGATTCAACTTCGAGAGAGAGAGAGAGAGAGAGAGAGAGAAAGAGAGAGAGAGAGAGAGAGAGAGAGAGAGAGAAAGAGAGATAGAGAGAGGGAGAGAGAGAGAGAGAGAAGGAGAACAACCCTGACTCTGTTCACAAGGCAAACGAAACAATATTGCTCTTGGATTCACATTGTACCCGGGTGCACACATGAGTTAGCACGCTGAAGTTTATGGGAGCTGCTGCTTTCACACGGGATGAACTCTTTTATCGACATTTGGTGTGCGCGCGCACACACACACACACACTGCTGGCAAAGTCCTTATTTAAACCCTTTCAGCTGGTGAGCTGAATGTGGGGAGAAAAATAAGGGAGAATTTTGCTAGCTTTTCAGCGTCTCGGAACCCGAAGTCCGTTGACAGGCACTCTCTCAAATGCCCTTTTAACGGAGGGACAGGAGCTGGAAGGGACCTTGGAGATCTTCTAGTCCAACCCCCCCATATGCTCAGGCAGGAAATCCTCTCTACCATTTCAGGCAAATGAGTGTCCAGCCTCTTCTTAAAAACCTCCAGGGATGGAGCAGCCACAACCTCTAGCAGCAAGGGGTTCCGTGGATTAATTGCTCTCATGGTTGGACGTTCTAGGTTGCTTTCTCTCCTGGAGCGGTTTCCATCCGTCGGTTCTTTGGAGAATTGGAGATGGACCCAGTTTTTCCTTCGTGGCAACCCCTCAGATACTGCAAGGCCGCTCTCCTGTCCCTCCTAAGTCCTTCTTTTCACTAGACTAGGCCTACCCAATTCCTTTTAAGAACAGGAATGCAGGGGTGAGATTCAAAATGTTTTAACAACCGGTTCTGTGGGCGTGGCTTGGGGGTCATGTGACTGGGTGGACATGGCTGGGCGTCGCCAACTCAATATCACTCACATCGAGGTACACATCTCCTCCCCTGGCCTCTCATGGCCGTGGGGATGCTGCAACAGTCGTAAGTGTGAAAAAGGGTCATAAGTCACTTTTTTCAGTGCCATTGTAACTTGGAATGGTGACTCCACACAAGCAAAGTACCAGCAAAGGAGGGGGAACAAACTCCAGGGATGTTCCTGAGAGAGGAAGTCTAGTCCTGCCAAGAACGGAATAAGGGTTAACGGAGAGGCAGTTTCTGTAAGCAACACCAGAACGTTTCCTTCCTGCCTTCCTTACAGGATTAGTCCAGTAATTTCTTCTAACAACCGGTTCTCCGAACTGCTGAGAATGTTAACAACCGGTTCTAGCGAATAGGTGCGAACTGGAGAATCCCACCCCTGCATGAATGTCTTCATCCCAGTGGTGGGATTCAAATATTGTTACCACTGGTTCGGTGGGCGTGGCTTGGTGGGTATGCTTTGCGCGCGCGCACTTTGCATGCACACTTCTGCCCTTTGTGCAGGCACAGAGGTGTTCTAACTCGCCTTCTGCAAGCCTGCACGATCCCGGTTGCTTCAGCAGCTGCCGTGAATGCCGTGCAAAGCAGCTGTGCTTCAAATTTACAGGATAAAGGTGAGTATAGTAGCCCGGGCGGGTGGGTGGACCCAACAGCAGAGTGGTGGAGACAAATGGTTCGGTCTCCACTGGTCATCACTGGTACCGGCTTGGCAGAACCGGGCTGAACCCGTACAACACCACCACTGCTTCATCCAGTTTAGGTATCTTATCCACGCTCCATACAAGTAATCTTTAGGGCACATTCCCCACATGGGTCAACTGCTCCAGCGCTGTGACCGTAGAACGACGAAGGGAAGCCACGGATCTGAAGGCAACTGCTGAGCTCCAACGGAAGAGAAGGTTTCTCGAGCTCAGCTTGTGCCGTGGCGTCCTTGGTGCTCCCTGAACTTGGTTTCTTTGCTTGCAGACATTTCGGGAGCCAACAAGCTAACATAATCAGTCCCTGATGATCTCTATCAACACCACCCGACCGCTGAAGGTGTCACCTAGTCGGGTAATGAAAGGTCTGCAACCAAAAGCTCAGGTTTGCTAGGATCACGGTTTAGATACAGCTAACACCAATGTTGTTTAAAAAAGAAAATGACAGGAAGCCAGAGATTAAAAAAAAAAACCTTGCACCCAAATGTAGCCTGTTTTAAAGTCTGGAACGTCTAAGGAAGAGGGACCCTGGAGAATCAATCCCTCAGGTGGGGCCGGGAAGTAAAATTAACAGGTAGAGAAGCTCCAACAAGACCAAATGAAATGAAAGTTTGTGTTTCTTGGGCCGGGCTGCCTTCCTACGGTTCTGGGTTGTTGTTGTTCTTTAATGATGGGGGTGTGTGTGTCTCCGACCTTGGCACCTTTATGACTTGTGGACTTCAACTCCCAGAATTCCTCAGCCAGCATAGCTGGGAATTGGAAGTCCACACGTCGTCAAGGTGCCGAGGTCGGAGACCCCTTGCTTTGCGAGACACGGATGGTCTTAGGTGGGTTTCTGAACTTGGACCCCAGCACCTTCTACTCATTGTTTCCCTGCTCGGGGTGGGGTGAGAGAACCTATTGGCATGGCTAGCGTCAACGAACTGAAGGAATACGTGAGCTTCTACCTCAGCAGCATAGAAAACCAGAACCATCATTCTTTGTCGAACTATCTTAGCTTTGGAACCGGAGGGGAAGCGTTGCTGGCGCCGAAGTCCTGGGCGCACCGGAGGAGCTGCATCTGAATTAAGGAGACCTGACCAGATCCCAGCGAGGAGAGACAGCTGCGATCCACGTGGCTAACCGGGAGTGACCACGAAGGACAACCCACATTGGTACACAAGTAGCCCTGATAGTTTAATGGACATACTGCACTACAGTCAAGTTTACAACATCTGTATAGAAATCATCACATGAATAGGTGGCAAAAAGAAGGAGAAAAAAAGGAGGAGGAGGAGAAGAAAAAGGAGAAGGGCAAGATGATTAGGCTGAGGAGGAGAAGAAAGAAGAAGAAGGAAAGAGGAGGAGAAGAAGAGAAGGAGGAGAAGGAAGAGGACAAGAAGAAGGAGGAGGAGGAGGAGGAGGAGGAGGAGGAGAAGAAGAAGAAGAAGAAGAAGAAGAAGAAGAAGAAGAAGAAGAAGCACATTACAGAATACGAAAGCCATTTTTAAAATCAGAAGGAACACCTTGTGTTGCTGTTGGCACAAGCCAGGATTGAACCTTGGATCTTAGATGTCAGACACCAGGAGGACTGGGACGGGGGTGGGGGGAGTAAGAGGAAAGCAACATTGGGAAAGACCCCCCCACACACACAAGAGGGAGGTCTGGGGTTTGGGTAGCCTTGAAGGAGATCCTGCCCCCCCCCCCACCCCCCCCCCCGGGAACCGCCGGGCTTCGGCCCTGGTTTTTCCTGCCCTGCTAAAGGAAAATCTTGGGCTAACATTCGTGGAAGCAAACCAGGGTGAGGGACCTTCGTGGTTTTGGAAGACCACCAGAAAGTGGCAGGGGAGAAGCGCCAGAGGGAAGAAGCTCACAAGCCACGTGGGGCTCTCCGCAATCGCCCTGCCGAGACACCCCCCCCCCCCAAAAAAATGCCCCTTCCCAACCTCTCTTATTAAACAAGGCCAGAGCAGGAGCCTCGGGGGAGGTTCAGTTTATTGCTGGCATACTCAAGATTTTGCTTATTGGATTGTGGCTCGGAGGAGCTGCTGCTGTGCCCCCGTTTTCTTCCCTGGGGAGTCTTCCCCCCCCCCCCCCCCCGCCCCCTCCCACCCCCCCCCCCCCCCCTTTTCCAGCAGCGCGAGAGAATTCCCGCAAATTATCTCCCTTCCGTCCCGTTGCCTTGGACCATCACAAGACTGTTCTGAGAGACTGCCGGACTGAATGGGGTGTGTTTGTGTGTGTGTGTGCGTGTGTGTGTGAATGGGGTGCGCCTCTGTGTCTAAGCAAAGCCCAGCACCCCATGTGCAGCGCAAAGCCGCCGACTGCTCACAAAAGGCCAGGGCAGCTTTGCAAATACGCCCTTTGCCTCCGGCCCAGACGCACGGAGGAGGAATGCCAGCTCCGTTAAAACGCCGCTTTGTCGCTTAACCGGGTTTTGATTTGGCTGCAGAGAAACACGTACAAAAAGCCCCGGCGGCCTCAACGAGGGAGCCCAGCCCACCCACCCCCGTTTCCCCAAAAGGTGGGGGGGATATTGGGCTGGGCTGGAAGACCCAGTTGGTGGATTAAAAAGCCACCCACCCAAAATGAGAGAGAGAGAGAGAGATTTTTAAAAAACGGAGGGTAGATAGACGGTTATGTTGGTCTACCAAACAGCGGCTTGAAATGTGTTGAGCGGCAGTACGCGTGTGTGCTCTCGCACCCCTGGTTTTCACTCCCCCCCACCAGTCCTCAAGGTGCTTCTCCCTTTTGTCCCCCTGACAGGTCAGGTAGATTCTCCCTGAGGAGTAGATCCAGTAGATCTCTTGCCCCAAGCAACCTCTCAGAACAGAGCAACAGGTCCAGGCAAGTCCCGTCTCTCTCTTTTTTTCCCCCCAGGAAGAACTAAGATCTTTCTCCTTATTGTTTAGTTATCTGTGTGTGTGTGTGTGTGTGTGTATCTGGCAGGCGGAGGGGGGGGGGGGTGGGGGTCTTTTCATTTATTTTTACAAAAAAAAAGAAGAAAAAGAAAAAGGAGAAACAACCTTCACATGAAAGCATTACAAGGCCAACTCCCTTTGGTAGGAAGTGTAACAAAATGACTTCGCCGCCCTCGCTGGTGACGTACTTAAAAACCCCTGAAACCATCTGGTAACTCCAAAAAAAAAAAAAGGCTAGTAAGAGTTGTACTAGCACATGAAGCACACTTAATTCTTTTAATTAAAGAAAAAAAAATTCGACAAATATGTACATTTATTTACAAAAAAAAAAAAACCAAAAAACCAACAAACCAAAAAAAATAAAAATATATAAACCAACCAGGAAATGGGGAGCGGAAGGCGAAGAACCGGATTAAAATCGTTTTTGTGGCTGCTATTGTCAAAGCGTGCATGTGTGACTGAGAAGAGTTTGTGTATGTGTGAGAGAGAGAGAAAGAGAAAGAGAGAGAGAGAGAGAGAGAGAAAGAGGGAGGGAGAGAGAAAGAGTGTGTTTGTGTGAACAGCTGGTGCATGGCACTAAGAGCCTAGTAAACAAGCAGGTACAAAACATAATAATAGTCATAATAATAATAATAATAATAAAACTCAAATAAAATGGTAGTTCCACTGGCACTAGATAAAACAGACTGATCTTAAATCGGTTTAGGGACGCCGGGAGTCCCTGGTCACAGGAACGCAACGGATGAGAAGGAAAAGTCGAAACCCACTGAGCGGGGTAGGGGGGGTCTGACTCCCCCTCCCCACCCCCAGGTGGTCTGCAGAACTCAGGAAGCGGCTCAAAAAGTTTTCAAAAAGTCTGCCGCCAAGTCCCGAGACGAGGGACGCTGCGCTTCTGGCGTCTTCCTTAAAAGATTCTGGCCTTAAAACTCGTGTCTTTTGGGGGAGGGAGGGAGGGAGGTGGGGAGGGGAGGGGGAGAAGGTGGGGGGGGTATAATACGCCACGCACCCGAGTCCCGGTCGAGCTACTCAATAGCACCCAAAGGATCAGGGCTGTTGCTGGTGCGTAGAGGCCGAGGTGCGTCTCCCCTCGGGGGGGCGACTCACGGACCTTCCGGGCCCCCGCGTGGGCCGATGTGGGCGCTCCCGGCGGCCGGCCTGGCTTTCGGTGCCACAAGACCGAGGGGAAAACGGGCCCCTGGGACGTCTGCGGGCGGAGTGAGTCGCGGGGAGTGGCGGGTCACGGAGCCGCGCGAGGAAGGAGGAAGCGGGCAGCGGGAGCCGTCCTCATTTTGCCCGCGCCGCACTGCCCCTCCCCGCGGTCTCTCCGCGCGCGTGTGTGTGTGTGTGTGTGTGTGTGTGTGTGTGTGGGCGGGGGGATGCTCCTCCCCTCCCCTCCCACCAAACACGCTTCAGTTTTTTCCCTTTTTTTTTCCCCCCTCCCCGCAGCACCGGCGTTCAGGGCGTCTTACAGGTTGTGCTGTATTTCACGCGGTATTTGTTGATGCTCACAAAATGCAAGTCCTCGGCCTCGCGAGTCGTGGTGCAGGGCAAGAGGCCCTCCAGGGCTTCGCCCATGAGCCACTGGCTCGTTTCGGCGGCCATCTCCCGGGTGACGTGCTCCTTCGTCCACCGATCCACCCAGGCCTGGAAACGCTGGTGCAGCCTCTTGCTGACTCGCTCGTGGGACTGCAGGGGAGGGGAAGGAGGAGAGTTAGAGGGAGACGCCTTCAGAGCTACCGGCTCTACAGAGGGGGACAGAGCCAGCAGAAACCCACCCAAACAGCCAGGGTGGTCTTCAATTCCAAGGAAAACCTCCCCAAAGGAGCCCCCCCCACCAAGAGCAAAGGGAAAGAAGTGGACATTCCCACCCTGAGTCTTGTGGCGTAGCTTGGCTTGACCATTGCACGGGGTGGCCCCCACCCATCATGGTCCTTCCGCCCTTCCAGCCCCCCCAACGACCATCTTCCCTAGATGTACACGCCGCCCCACCCCTCAAGAGGACGGGGCTCATGGGCTCCCCCCTCTCTGGACCAACCTGATGGGCGCGCAGCAGGGCGGTCCTCCGGTACATGTAGTCTTCCGACTTGATCACGTAAACCATCTTGTAGGAGTTCAGCTTGAACTTGCATTCGAGCTTGTCCAAGCTCTCCACGTTCTCCAGGGGCTTCTTGCCCGGCCCCTCTTTGCCGTCCTTCTCCTGCTGTTCCCGACCTCTCTGACACTTCCGGATCTGCCGCAGGTTCCTGAGAAGGAGAGAGAGAGAGAGAGACCAACGCTGGAATTAGGGTCTGCCTGAAGAAACCCACCCCACAGCTTCTGCTGGGGGGTGGGCGAGAGAGTCAAGCATGGGTGGCTTGACTCACAGAGGACAGGGACGTCTGGGAACTGGGAGGCCCTTACTGGTAGCTGCCCCATGGAGCCCCCGAGCCAGCAATTGCCCCCATGACAAAAGAAGAGAATCTCTATAGAGCAGCGGTGGGATTGTCCCAGTTCGCACCTATTCGCTAGAACCGGTTGTTAACATTCTAAGCAGTTCGGAGAACCGGTTGTTAGAAGAAATTTTTACTGGACTAATCCTGTAAGGAAGGCAGGAAGGAAACATTCTGGGGTTGCTTACAGAAACTGCCTATTAACCCTTATTACATTCTTGGCAGGACTAGACTTCCTGTCTCAGGAACTTCTCTGGAGTTATTTTTCCCTCCTTTGCTGGTACTTTGCTTGTGTGGAGTGATCATTCAAAGTTACAATGGCACTGAAAACAGTGACTTATGACCCTTTTTCACACTTATGACTGTTGCCGCATCCCCACAGTCAGGAGCGTCCAGGGGAGGAGATGCGTTCCTCGATGTGAGTGATATTGAGTTGGCCGCGCCCAGCCCATAACATGGCCAACAAGCCATGTCCACCCAGTCACATGACCACCAAGCCACGCCCACCAACTAAGCCACGCCTACAGAACCGGTTGTTAAAAAATTTGAATCCTGCCCCTGCTGTAGAGGTCAGGATTGAGCTATGGGGTTCTTGGTACTCTCTCTGCGCTTGGTGTTTCTACGGCAGAGGTTTCGCGATCGCCGAAGATGTTACCCAAATACCTGCAGGAAAAACCACCCAGCTTGAGGAATCAGGTTCCAAAAACCAAGACAGACACGTTGAGGTTCTTCTAAGCTGCTTCCTTTATCATTCCATCACCCACAGAGTGAAATCTCACCAAACTGGAGCAGTCTTTGCACCGTGAAACCTAGCCTCTGGAAACCCTTGAGGAGGAGCCGTCTTCACCCTCTTTCTCATAAACAAGCAATCTAAATGGTGTTATCCCTTCGGAAAACCTTTAATCACGCTAAGGAAGCATCAAGGACTCCCATCATTTCCCTCTCCCCCAGTCCAGCAGCGTGGGGGGGGGACCGGACGGGACCACGGCTAGAGGCAACGCAGGCCTCCAAACAGCGCATGGGTGCTTTCAGGTACGGGTGAAGAACGGGCTCCGTTGTCTCACCTGGGCAGAAATACCGGCTTCTGGGCCAGCTGTTCCCGCAGTTCAGGAGACGTGGAGTCCGAGTTGACGTAGCGATCCACGTAATCCGTCCAACGCTGAAAAGGGGAACCAAGAGATGATGAATTATTCTAAGGGGAAGGAGGGGGAGGAAAAAAAGGCAGGTTTTCTGCTGTGGGACATTCTAACCCCCCCTTTATGCCGAGGCTGCTGCAGGAACGGAATCTTTGCCAAGCGTTTTTCCTTCCTTTATTCTGACGTTCCACAACATTGGAGACGATCCCTTCTGAGATGCTTTCTCACGCTCCGTTCCCTTCTGGGGGCTGAGATACCTTTGAGTCTAGCCTGCGGCTCTTCCTGCTGGCTCCCAAGGCCATCCCAGCTGGGTTAGGCTTCCCCATTTTTAAAAACCGTGTGTGTGTGTGTGTGTGTGTGTGTGTGTGTGTGTGTGTAAATCGGAACAAGAACGCGGCAGGACTGCCGATGGAGCACAGCCCACCCTTACCTCTGCCTCAACAGGGTCGTCGGAGTTCTCCTCTTCAGTATCCAGCAGTTCAATGGTTAACTGAACGTGGCCTCTGCTCTGAACGAACATCATCTACACGACGAAACACACAGGCTCACAATGCTGGCTAAAGGGCCTCCAGAGTTAAAAAAAAACAAACAATACCGCCCCCCTCTCAAATAAGTGCTGTGAATCACAACCCAATATCAACTCGTCAAATATTTCTCTGGTCTTTTAAAGAGTTGCCACCAGAAAGGGAGGAGGGGAAGTAGCGCATTCCTTAAATGTTTTCCTAGATCATTTCGAGGCAACCGAAGTTTCTGGCAGTGCAAAATTCTAACTGGAGAGCATGATTGATGACTCTGGGCTAGGGAGGTGTCCCATTGGAGAATGTGAATACAACCAAGGTCAAAGGGCGAAATGAATGATGTGTTTCAGAGTCGGCTTCACCCAGGTAGCGCCGGCATGTTCACTAAATCATAAATCAAGCTCTGAAAGATCCGGCTAGAGGCTCACGATTTAAAAACGGGGGTGACGCCCGGAGCCCTGACACCTGGATTTGGACAAGGGCGTTATTGAAACAGGCAACGCTTCAGCTTAGCCGCGGGGCTCGGTTAGGAAAAGGCAGCCAGAAGCCAACGGCCCCGCGCATTTTATCGCTGGCACGTTAAGCTTCCGTCGAGAGACAGTGGCGATATTTTGCCCCGAAGGAACCTGGCATCGAGTCACAACCCGCGATTAAAATCAAAGAACAGACTGTCAGCTTAAAGCAAGAGGAAAAAGTTGCGCTTTTAGGGGAAGCTCAGATTGACTGGGGGAGGAGGGGCAGAGAGAGAGAGAGAGAGGAGAGGGATTATTTGTAGGGAAGGGGAAACTGAAAAGATTCCAGGGAAAATGGGTGCATCAAGAGGAGGAGGAGGAGGAAGAGGAGGAGCGTGTTTCTCCCAGCTTCTGCCAGCCATTAAATCCTCCAAGCAGCCTTTCGTTGCATTTCCATCAAAATCGCCCCGCCTTCCGCCCAGCCCCTGCCACCGTTGAGGAAGCCTGCCAGTTTCCACAAAGACCTGGCGTTCTTTTAATCGCTCGAGACAAACTCCGATTATATGCCCAGAAAAAACCTTCTATATCATCTCAGCCCCCGAAGGCTGCACCTCTGCCGATTGTACGAGACGCCCGGAGAAACAGTTCGATAAACGGGACTCGGAGGGCGGGGTGGGGTATTAAACGCACCTTTGCACGCTGGGAGGGAAAAGATCAAACCCCCCCCCCCCTCCCCCCCCCCCCAAAAGCCACCCTCTCCATTTCTCGCCCCTCAAAAAGGCCGGCAAGGCTCTTGCCTGGCCACCCTGGCGTACCTTGAAGCAGTTCTCGTCCTGCATCAGCTGCTCGGCTTTGCGCTGATAGGCCGTTTCCACCAGGGAGCGAGAGGACTGGGAGCTCAGCAGCCCTCCCGTGGCACCGTTGTGGCTCTCAGACAGGTAGAGCTCCGTTACCTGCACGCAGATTTCGTCACTCACGATGTGCTGGAGCTGAAAAGTTAAAAAAAAGAGAGAGAGAGAGACAGAGACAGAGAGAAAAGAACATCAAGATGACTTTTTGGAAGCTCCAACCCCAGGTGCGCGCTTTCTTCCGCCGCGTGGTACCGATGCTACTACGCCCGAGGCCAGCGGGCGGCGTGCCCGGGCAAAGCTATCTCTCTCTGCTGAACTTGTAACCTCTGTTCCCTCTGCCCCGGGGCAAACAGAGCACGGAGCGGAGCAGATGCTGGATCCAGAAGGCGGCCGTTAGAAGCGACGGGGTGCAGCCCAGCAGTGGCCGCGACTGGCCTGCTGCAGAGTTTGGGGGGGGGGGGGAGGCTAAGGGAGCACCTTAAACGTCCCGGAAGCCCCCCTGACCTCTGGCTGTGGCCCCCTCTGCTTTGGAAGTTGATGCCTGGCGTTTCTTCCCACCCACACCCCCATCTCTCTTTCAACCCCCCCCCCATACACATATCCACACGCACCTTTCCTTGTCTTTCCCTGTCTCTCCCCAATCTCTTTCCTTCTTTTCCTTCCCCTCCCTCCCTCCCTCCCTCTTTCCACCCACCCTCCCGCTCCTTTCTTTCCCTCCGCACCCTCCCTTTCCCTCTCTCCTCCCTTCCCTCTCTTCTTTCCCCCCTCTTCCCTCCTCCCTCTCCCCTCCCCTCTCTTCTCTCCCTTTCCCTCTCTCCTCCTTTCCCTCTCTTCTTTCCCCATCTTTCCTCCTCTCCCTTTCCCTCTCTTCTCTCCCCACTCTTCCCTCCTTTTCCTCCTCCTTCTCTCCCTTTCCCCTCCCCTCTCTTCTCTCCCTCCTCTTCCCTCTTCTTCCCTTCTTCTCTTCCTCTCCCCCTACGTCTCTCTCTCTCTCTCTTGCCTCCCCTGCCCGAATCACCTGTCTGACAATGCTCTGGATGAGCTTGTCCATGGTGAAGGCGATGTAGGCGTGAATGGTGAACATGTCGCGCAGGGAGTCCTCGTACTGGGAGGAATCCATGTTGCCGTCCAGGAGGTTCCGCACCATGTCCAGAAACGCCGGGTAGTAGTCTTCCACCTCAATGTCCACTGAAACGGGGACGGGGGGGGGGAGGAAGGAGGGAAACGGGAGGAGGAGAGAGGTGTAGAACAAGCTCATTAGAACGGCTCTGCAGGGGAAGCGTCAGCCCTGCCAGGGAGGCCACGCTGGAATGCAAGCAGCAGAGAACCTGGAAGGCCGGTTGCCTGCGCATTTGAGTTGCAAAGCTTGATTCGACCGCACACGTTTTCAGGGCCCTGGTTCAGCGAAGCCGACGTTTGCCATCGGGCGGCTTTGCCAGGAACCAGAAACAAAGGCCGGCTTCCCCCCCCAAAAACGCCTTAAATAAGGTGGGTGGCTGCAGTATTATTATTATTATTATTATTATTATTATTATTATTATTATGCATCCCTTGGATAACGTTTTTACTTCCTGCATTTTACTGGCTGTACGCTTTAGCGTTGTCGTTACGCTCTCTTCTGGTTTTGCAAGCACCCCGAGGGCTTCTTGGCCGAAGAAAGAAAAGCAAACTACGCTCACGTGACTGTGGCGCCCCCAGGTTCCCTCCCCCCCCCCCCCCCCACCGGAACTGGGTCCTATAAGGGGCCCACTGAGGGGGTCTTGTCGTAACTTCCAGCTGTCGCTAAGCCAGCGGCCCCCCCAACCTTTTGGGGCACCAGGGACCAGTTCTGTGGGGAGAGGATTTTTCCCGTGGGCAGGAGGGGAAGTGGTTTTACCTGCGTCCCACGGATGGGGCTTTGCTTGGTGGCACGGCCCGGTTTCAGCCCTGCCGCAGCCTGGTGGCTGGTCCGTGGCCCGGGGGGGGGAGGGTTGGAGACCCCTGTGCCAAGTGCCCGATTGTTAAGCCGAGGACTACTTTGCACTCCCCCAGTGCTGCCCATCTGCCCAGCCCGAGAGAGACACTCTCTTGTGGCCTGTTGGCCGCCGGTCCCTCCAGCAGCCAAATCAGAGGAGGAGGAGGAGGAGGAGGAGGTGGTGTGGGAGTCAGGGTCAGCATTAAGGCAACCTGAGAGCTCCAAGCAGGAAGAGGGAGAGGAGCTGGCAGAGAGAGGTGGGCAGAGATCCTGGGCCGCCCTTCAGCCCTCAGAGGGAGAGTCAACAGCCCCCAGGTCTGGAGGTGGCTGATAAGGAAGAGGAGGAACAGCTGGCTCAGTGCCTGACGCACGGATGCGCAGAAGGCAGAGGAGAGGAGAGCAGTGGAAATCTATGGGCCGGTCCTTGGGACGGAAGAGCCAGTGCTAGCAAAGCCCCGCCCTCACTCTGGGGATAAAAGGGAGGGGGCAGAGATGAATAAGTGTGTCAGACAACTATTAGTCTCCCTGCCGGACAGACTTGCCAGCCGGCATTGAGAGAGAAATTTTTTTGCCGGGGCTGCCGGCGCCCCCAATTAAAGCAACCGTTGCTTCAACTACAGAGGGATTCTCGTGTTTGGGGAGGTGGGTCAGAACACACTCACTGGGGTCTTTCAAGCGCAGCTGGATGGCCGGACTGTCGCTCTTCTCTCGCTTGACCCCCAGCACTTCCCGCTCCCACTCTCGTTCCCGGCTGTCCTCCTCGATCTGCCGCTCGGCCTGGCTGTATATCCGCAGCAGCCGCAGGCACAGGATCTGGTGGAGGCGCAGGAAGATGTACCAGTTGTTGTTGACGTGGAAGAGGTTGTAGGCCTCGTCCAGGCTGCGCAGCTTCTGAGCCACCGTGCTGCTGAAGAGCAGTTTGGCTTTGGGGGAGCTGCCCCCCACCCCGTTGTGCTTCTTCACCGCCCCGGAGTTCTCGTCCACGTCCATCTCTTCCTCTTCTTCCTCCTCCAGGTCCGAGAGCTCCCCGCGCTGAGCGAAGAGAAGGTCCGGGATGAAGTGGTACATGATCTGCTTGATTTTGTATTTGTCCTCCTTCTGGATGCCCGTCTGGCGCTTCACGTGGTGGATGATCAGAGAGGCGGCGTCCTCCAGAATCTGCTTGTCCTCGTAGGCCAGGGAGAGGTGAGGGCCGGTGTTGTCCTCCGAGGTTTGCTCTTGCCTCTGAAAGCCCAGGGAACGAACAGTCTGAATTCGACCTCAAGGCCTCTCTCTCTCTCCCCCTTCTCTTTGTGTTTTTATCTCTCTTTCTGTCTCTTTCTGTCTTTCTGTCTCTCCCCGTCTTTGCTTCTATTTATCTCTTTCCCTCTCTTTCTGCCTCCCTTCCTCTCCAGCCCTTTGTCTATTTATCTCTCTCTCTCTCTCTCTCTCATTCATTCTCTCCCTCCCCGTCTTTGTGTCTATTTATCATTTCCTCTCTTTCTGCCTCTCTCTTCCTCCCCCTTTTATCTCCCTCTCATTCATTCTCTCCTTCCCTGTATTTGTGTCGATTTATTTCCCTTTCTTTCTGCCTCTGTCTATTTATCTCTCTCATTCATTCTCTTCCTCTCCATCTTTCTGTCTATTTATCTCTTTCCCTCTCTTTCTGCCTCTCTCTCTCTCCCCCTTTTATTTATCTGTCTCTCTCCCTCATTCTCTCCCTCCCCGTCTTTCTGTCTATTTATCTCTTTCCCTCTCTTTCTGCCTCTCTTCCTCCCCCCTCTTTGTCTATTTATCTCTCTCT